GGCTTGCCACATGGGCCTTCGAATGGCAGGAGGCCTGCCAATAATCATGGACATTACAATAATATCTCCACCCGATGCTGATACGTTGCCTTTTCAAAAAGCCGATACGAATCCTAAAGCTCACCATTTACCCGCATGTAGTGATCCCGTAAGGCTTATTCCAAAATGCTTGGAATGGAACCTGGAAGGCGACTCAACCGGGAGGCGCGCGAGCTCCTCGTCCAAATCGCTGCCGCGCAGGCCGGAACAGCCCGCAGACCGCTGCAGGGCATCCCGCAGAGAGTGTGCGGAAGGCACGTTGGACCTGCAGGGCACCCGTCGCTGCACAAGTGCCTGTACAGAGGCACGTGTCAGCACTTGGGTGGCTCTCTTGGACGGCGCGCCGACGGCATGTAGCCCCAGGCCGCGAACGCCTAGGACGACGGGGGCAACTACCTTGCCCACTCCTCCTCCTCCTCCTCCTCCTCCTCCTCCTCCTCCTCCTCCTCCTCCTCCTCCTCCTCCTCCTCCCCTGAACTAGCTTGGCCAGTCGTCGCTTTTGACGACGCGTGGCGCAGATTGCGCCGTTTGCATAGCCTGTGTTCGGTTGAATGCTGAGGGGAATTGAAGGTTCGGCCGTCACGCGGGCCGCGTAAAAATCTTGTAAAAGTCGGTCACACGTTCATCAACATTGCCGCGGGAATGCCACTTCTCTCGGCGACGGCAATCCTGCGTATCACAATATCGCAGCCTTCGGTGATGGTATTGGACATTGGTGGGCATCCTTGCGGGTGTGGTGTGCACGGTTGCGATGTCGGCGTTGAGCGGGATAAAGCGCGCATCGAGTTGGGCATCTCCGAGGCAGCAGCCCAAAGGTGGAACTGCGCATGCACCACGGGCGAACGGACAGGCCACCTTCACAGGAGGCAGCAAATCGTCTGGGGGAGGGGAGACAGAATTCTGGTGCTGGCTCGCGGGGATTCTTGCGGCCTGCGGCACCACTTGAACTCTGTGTGTGGTGGCTACGACGTTCCTTCCTACACTATCGACTTCAATTCCTCAGAGCACAGCAGGAGATCTACATGTCCAACCAGTATCTCTCCGTGTTCCATTTTCCTCTGCTATACATTCTCTTCCGACTCCGACATTCCCTACTCCAGCCTCCCATCCCAGAGCCCCCACTTACCCCGAACTCTGGCGTCAGACCCCATGGATTGTCGTAGATGGTCCTTTGAACAATCGGCGTAAGTACTCTTGGCAATATCTCTTAACTTGCCTGCGCCTCAGATAGCGCAGGCCAGAGTCAGGATCGGATTGCCAATCGAACGGGCCACTGGAATCGGAATACGATAGGCGAACGCCTCGGAAGACCAAATTGAAAACGATGATACCGGAATAGTCCAGGAGATACGATGTGATCGGAAGCTTGCTTCGGAACGGCGTGGGGTGTGCAGCTTACTCGGAGGCTGGAGTCGGCAATCGGCCATACTGCCCTGCTCGCATCGCATGTCTGCGAAGGGGTAGGAGCACTCCTACGATGTCGCGCACCTTATCTGGCGATACGAGTTGTCATTGCACCGGCCTTGCAGACGTGCTGCAGCGGATTTCTGCGTGGACTTCTGCGTGGATGTTTGCCCGAAGCGGCGAGCGAAAAACGAAGTGAGTTTCGCGTGGGTTCTCTCTGGTCCTCACTCCTGGCCAACCACATCCGCACGAAGTTTTCACTGCGAGATCCGGAGCGACATTCTCCAGGACGCTCTGGGCCCACCCTGTCGCTCTCCGAACGCAATCCGCTCTGCGCTGCTGGCGCCACGACTCTGACGATGTCGCGCACCTGATCTGGCGGTACAAGTGGGGGCGGCTGGGCGGGACGAGGCTCCGGCTCTGAGAAGCAGCGAACCCAGGAGGAGGAGGAGGAGGAGGAGGAGAAGGAGGGGGAGGAGGAGGAGGAGGAGGAGGAGGGGGAGGAGGGGAAGGAGGGAGACGATGACGACGACGACGACGACGACGACGACGACGACGACGACGACGACGACGACGACGACGACGACGACTGGCAGGTGGATCCCTGGGCAAGGCCACGGAGGGAGGAGAGGCCCCGGGTCGCGGGCGCCCGGCCCCGCAGAACGCGCACGAGCACCGGAGGTGTTCGAGCGGGGGAGGGTGGAGGGCAAGAAAACTCCTCTGATTCATCCTGGTTCTGTTCCTCATCGTCGTCCTCATCGCCTCCATGCCCCCCTTTCTCCTCATCCTCTCCGGCCTGCCCCCGTCCTGCTCCCGTGCTCCTCCTCCATGCCATGTCCCTGGTCTGTCCTCCCCCCATCAATTGACGCACGATGGCCATGGCCAAGACTGAGCTTATGTTGCTCCCATCGTACTGAAGGACCACATCCCAGAAATAGTTTCGAGCGCCCAGAAAAGGTGTCGCGACAGTGTCGAGCGAATATCGCCTCCCAGGGCCCGACACGCGGAAACCCTTAAGCTTCGGTACTTTCGTGGTGCTCGAATTTTTTTCTGGTGATCAAGGCTAATCAAGGTTGGCACATCACAAGACTGAGCGCGGAAACGTCGGGGCCGATTTTGGCCACCGTCCATGTTGATCACCGTTGATGCGTGGATCATCCTCGCGAGGCGGCGACGGCCGGCAGGGAGCATGACGAGGACCGACGTCGACAAGATCCCGCGACGCCTGGGCCATGGCCAGCGCGTCCTCCTGCGCCGCGGCTAAGGCGGTGCGGCCGCGACCACCGATGACGGGGGAACGAGAGGGGGGACCCGCTCAGGGGGAAACATCGACCTGGACTCGGCGATACATCGCTCATCGATCGGCAACGAGCCCCTGATAGCGAGCGAATCCGCACCTTCCTGGGCAGGTTCAGGCTACCGGGTCCCTCTCGGCGATCCATAAGCGAGGGGGGCCGGCGCACCCCCCCTGAGCCCATCCCCCCCGACGTCACCCCTGAACCGAGCTGAGGGCGCGCAGGCAACCGGCGGTGGCCCCAGCCCGGCGCTCGCGCGGCCCTCGCGCCCGAGGGACGCGCTGGCCCGGAGGCGCGGGCGCTCCCTGTGTCGGCGCTCCTCGCGGCGGCTCGCCGGGAAAGGCCTGGCGCCCACGCCCGTCCCGTCGGTGCGAGCGGACTCGCCGCGAGGGTCGGCGTCGCAGCAGTGCGGGGCGTGTCTGCGTGCTGGCGCTGTGCCCGCACGGGCTCTGTGCTGCTGCCGGCGCGGCCGCCGCGCCCCGCGCGGGCGCGTGGAGGGCGCGCCCCTCCCTGGGGAGCGCTGCCGCCCTTCGGCGGCGAGCGAGGGGGGCGAAGTGAGAAGGAGAAGGCCTTCGCAAGAAGGCGGCGGGACTTCTCAGAAGCTCTCGCGCCTCCTGAGGAGCTCGCCGCGCCTTCGGGGAAGGCTTTGGACAAAAAACTTCCCGGAAGGCCGGGGAGCTTCCGAGCCTTCTGAGAAGGCCCGCCCCTTCTGACTACCTACCAGACCACCCCAACCCAACCCGAAGACCCGAATTTCGGGTTGGGGGGGGTACGGGTTCCACACGAGATTTTTCGATGTTTCCCGACCCCCCCCAACACTGGAAATGGAGGGCAAATCGAGACCTTCGGGTTGGGTTGGGGTGGTTTGGTGGGTGGTGATCCACGCCATGCCCTGATGGGCACGGGCGGGCTCCCCAGTGGAGCCCGCACGGCTGGCGTTCGCTTCGCTTCGCGAGCGTGGAGGAGCTTCCCCCCCCCCCGCTCGCCGCCGAGCCCACTCCTCGCGGCGGGCGCGGGCTCCCCAGTGGAGCCCGCACGACTGGCGTTCGCTTCGCTTCGCGAGCGTGGAGGAGCCCCCCCCCCCCGCTCGCCGCCGAGCCCACTCCTCGCGGCGGGCGCAGGGCCCCCGCAGGGCGCAGCCAGGGCGCCCCCGGGCCGCGTCGCAGGGCTGGCGACCCCCGGGGGGGGGGGGCAGAGCGGAGCGGAGGCCCCGGCGCGCCCGCACGCACGAGAGGAAAGGGGCCCCAGGACACACAAATAAATACACACAAGTAAAACTATTCCCCATATTTCCCCTATATTCTCTGGGTTTTTGTCTTCCCCCCCACATCCCATATTTTCGCATATTCTCCTGGGGATGAACGATTCATTGTGTCTGTGTGTGTGTGTGTGTGTCTTTTCCCCGCCTGAGAGAGGCACGAAGCCGCGTCGCGGCGGGCGCGCCGCGTCCCGCCCCGACGGCCGCCTTGGCGCGCCGGGGGGCCCAAGGCTTCTAGGCGGCGAGGCAGCGGGGCGTCCAGGCTGCGAGGCACCGAGGCTCCGAGGCGCCGGGGCATCGAGGGATCCGAGGCGCCGGGGCCTCGAGGGCTCCGAGGCTCCGAGGCATCGACGGCTCCGAGCATCGGGGCCTGCGCCGCCCGGCAGGGGTGCAGAGCATGAGGAACGGTCAGCGCCGAGCGAGCGCCGAGCGGCCCGAGCCCGAAGGGGCCGCCGCGGTTCCGTCGTGATCGGTCGCGCGCCCAGCCCCGCGGCAGCTGCCGCTGCGCGCTCGGGCAGATGCTGCCGCGGTGACGGGCGATGGCAAGGTAAACTGGGAGAGGGAGGTGCGCAAGGGGGGCGCAATGCAAAGGGTGCAATCGGTGGTGGGGTGGGGGGGGATGGGGGGGGGGGGGGCGCGATGGTGGGGAGAGAAACTGCGCGGGGGCGGATGGCCTTGGCTCCCAAGCAGCACCGCGCCCAGACCTGCCGCAGAGGAGGTAAAAGCAGCTGTGTCCGCGCTGCGCGCTGCGCGGAGCGCGAACAGCTCCGCGTCCTGGCGCCGCCACGCTGGGGGAGAAGAGGAGGGCAAGAAGGACGAGGATAAGGAATCGAGCATCGAACATCTCGAACCGCGGATAACTTCGCGCCCTCGTGGCGGCCCTTGCGGAAGAGGACGAGGAAGACGAGGAAGAGGAAGACGAGGAGTAGGACGACGAGGAAGAATGTGCATGCGAGGGGAAGGAGAGGGACGGTGGGAGGGAAGGACTCAAAAAAACAAGATAAATGCAGGCATTTTTCCCCAGCTCTCACTTCTGGCCTGCGCTGCAGACCCTTAGCCAGGAGAGAGCTGATTGCTACGCTGTAGCTGGCAACGCCGAGGTCCTGCCCGGACTCCTGCATGACGCCGAGCAGCGAGTTCACCTAGTGGTAACCAGCAGAAGAGGTCGCGAGTCAAGGGGGGGCCAGCCCTCTAACAAGGCACCTGGGCCATCTAACTTCGCTTCGGGCGCAGCACGAAGGGCGAAACTGGATTATCTTCGCGCTCTCGCGCCGCCCCCTGGAGCAGGACACTTCTCCTGCCAGTGCTACGGGGCGCGAGGTGTGATCATCTTCGCGCGCCGGCCCGTGCCCTCTCTTGAGGGAGCGAAGCGCTTCCAACATTTGCTCACCACTCCTTCTGAGAAGCGGGAGGCACCCTCCTTAGAAGGCGGCTGACCAGGCGTGGCCGCTTTTGCTCGTGGGCGTCACCTGCTGCCACTTCCCCCCAGCCTTGCACGCGTCCATCGCGGCACTACAGCACACGTCGCTAGGCTCAACTTTCGCCCTTGAGGAATCACTGAAGACCCGCAGAGCCCATCTCCATGGCAATCCGCTCCCCGGGGGGGAGTTTCTATGTCCATCTTGCAGGCCGAGAAGAAACGCTAAGGTCTCTGCGTTGCGGGCGGGATAGGTCCACTCCGCTCTGCCCTGCCCCAGTTCCTTCAAGACGTTCAGCGACTGCTCCCACTGCCCGCTCGTGCCCCATGCCCTGATTATCGAGCTGTGGCCGATGTCAGCAGCACTGGGCTCTACCCTCGCTTTAACCATTTGGCTGTACAGCAGCAGCGTTTCCTGCCAGTGCCCACAATTTGCAAGAGCATAGAGTGCGGAACCGTAGGTGTACGGGTCCAGGGCCACTGCAACGTTCCGCATTTCCACGAGCAGCGACACACTCTGCTGCCACTGATCGCCCCTCTGGCACGCGCTGATTCCAGCATTGTAGGAGACTGGCGACTAGTGTGTACCCGTGGAGCAAGCCCGCACGTGCAGGAATAGCTCATCCCGCCGAACTGCGACAGAGCCTGCTGCCACTGGGCGTTGCAGCATCTGTTGCGGCGCCTCTTTGGGCTCTGATGTGTGGTCCTCTTGGCGCCCTCCGGGAACCACCTTGAAGCTCTAAAGGGCCCTCTCCGGGCCTCGCGGGCCCCCTTGGACGCCTCTTGGGGCTTCTCTTGGGGCTCTCTGGAAAAATCGGAGAGGCTGCTGAAGAAGCCCAAGCAAGATAAATCAGTGATCTATGTGTTGTTGAAACCTCTCGGCGCCCTGTCGAACCCCTCGTGGGGTTCTGAAGACTCCTCTCGGAGGCCTTTTGAGGCTGTTCTCTGGGCCATATTGGGTCGTCTTGGGCGCCTCGTGGGCCGTCTTGGTGCTCTATCGGACCGTTTTGGGCCCTCCTGGGCCTAAAGGCCCCCATGAGCCTCAAGAAATGCATCTAAGACGACTTCTAGAGGCCTCAAGGCTGCCTCCAAGACCCCCCCGAAGAGCACAAAACCGGCCCCAGTGCTTCCACGGCGCTTACGTCTGAACACGAGCGATGCAATGCAAAACGATATTCCACGGTTTCACATCTTCTCCCGTCTTCGGCGCCCTTCACATCCATGATCTCACAAGGGCCCGCAGAGGACCGCGCGAAGGCCCAGAGACCCCAAAAACACCGCGGCTCTCAGCAAAGACCGGTGATGCACAAGGCTCCACCAAAAAATGCGACGCAAACTTCTCGTGCCACATCGGCGAGGTGTCAACCCAAACGGGGCCAACACCTGGCCCCGAAGAGGCTTTCCAACAACCGCCGAACATTTCTAACAAAGGCCGAACAATTCCTCGTCCTCGTCATGCTCCTCCTTCTCCCCTCCCCCCTTTCCCACTTCCTTTTTCCTCCTGCTCCTCCTCCTCATCCTCAGCATCCTGCTATTCCTGCTCCCCCCGCCACACACACCCCTCCACCTCATCATGATCCTTCCCCTCCTCCTCCTCATCATCATCAGCATCATCATCATCATCATCAGCATCATCATCATCCTACTCCGCTGGCTCCATTCCCAATCCTTATCATCATCCTCACCGCTCGCCGTCGTCGCCGGTCATGACCGCCATCGTGCGCTTCCGGCAGCAACGGAAGCGTCCCGGATCGGCGGCAATGGCCGAAGGCCACTAGAATAAGTCAGTGATCTGTGTTTTTGAAACCTCTCGGCGCCCTGTCGAACCCCTCTTGGGGCTCTGAAGACTCATCTTGGAGGCCTCTTGGGGCCGTTCTCTGGGCCATCTTGGGTCGTCTTGGGCGCCTCGTGGGCCGTCTTAGGGGCTCTCTCGGACCGTCTTGGGCCCTCCCGGGCCGGCTTGGGATCCTCGTCGGAGGCCTCTTGGCCCCGCTTGGGGTGATTTTGAAGGCTGTTGGGCCGTCGTGAACGCGGCAATGACTCCAAAGTCGTGTATGCTAGAATCTATATAAGAATAAAATGGGAAATCCTCAAATGTTTCACCGGGAGGCCCTGCTGGAGTACTTCTTGGAGCGCCCTGGAAGTCTTTTGGAGCCCTCTGAGGTCGTTTGAACGCCATCTTGGAACATCTTGATGCCGTCCTCGGCCGTGTCGGAGATATCTTCGGCAAACTTGGAGGCCTCTTCTCTTGGACTTGCTTGGGCCGTCTGCGAACTTGGAGGCCTCTTGGACTCGCTTGGGCCGTCTGGGGGCCGCAGGCCCTCCCGGCGGGCCCTCCTGGCAGGTCCCCCGTGCGCACTGCCAGCAGCAGTGCACCACGCGCTACTCCCCGCATTGTAGGATAGACGTCGTTTGGCTCCAAATTCGCGTCCCCTATGCTTCTGAGCAGCTGCAGCGCCTTCTGCCACTGCTCGCCTGCCTGGCACGCGCTGATGGCAGAATTGTACGAGACAACGTCTGGCTCCACCCTTGCGTCCGCCATGCCACTGAACAGGGACAAGGCCTTCTGCCACTGCTCGCTTCTCCCGCACGCAGTGACTCCATAATTATAACAGACGCGGCTCCATTCTAACAGTGCTTCTCGCATTCCGCTCAGCAGCGACAGCGCCTGCTCCCATTCCCCACAATGTCCGCACGCGCTGACTACCGAGGTGTAACTGACTGGGCTCAGCTCAGTCTTCACTTCCCACATCTCGCTGAGCAGCGCCATCGCACTCAGCCACTGCTCACCAATGTCGCACGCACCCATCGCAGCATGATAGCTGATGACGTTCGGCACAATATTCGCTTCCCGCATCTCGCTGAACAACGACAACGCCTGCGACCACTCTCCGCGATTCCCGCAAGCGCTGATCGCGGCGCTGTAACTGAAGACGTCTGGCTTCAAGTCCTGTTCAGCTGCCTCGCCGAGCAGCGACACTGCCAGCCCTTGTGGTCCTCTTTCGCACGTGTCGATTGCAATATTGTAGCTGTTGATATCCACCTTCAGCCTGGATTCCCGCAACTCTTTGAGCAGCGACAGCACGCGCTGCCACTCTCCGCTGTTCCCACATGCGCTCATGACGGTACTGTAACTGACGACGCTTGCGTCCAGGCTCTCTTCCACCATTTCCTGAAACATCGACAGCGCCTGCTGCCAATGCCCGCCGTAGGCGAATGCACTAATTCTGGCGTTGTAGCTGACCACGTCTGCTGCCAACATCGCATCCCCAATTTCGTTGAGCAGTATCAGCGCTTGTTGCCACTGCCCACTGTTTGCGCACGCGCTTGCTACGGCATTGTAGCAATTGACGTTCAAACTCAGTCTTTTCTCCCCAATTTCTTTGAACATCGACAGCGCCTGCTGCCAACGCCCGGCAGCAGCGCAAGCGTTCATTCCAGCGCTGTAGCTGAACACGTCTGCTTCCAACAAAAACTCCCCCATCTCATGGAACAGCATCAGCGCTAGTTGCCACTGGTCACCAGCTGCGCACGCGCTGACTGCGGCGTTGTAGCTGATCTCGTTGGGCTTCAGCATCGCCTTCCGCATCTCGCTGAGCTGCGACAGCGCGCTCTGCCACGCCCCACCCTTTGCACAGGCGCTGATCAAGGCGCTGTAGCTGATGACGTTGGGCTCCTGCAGCTGTCCGAGCAGCGACATCGCCTGCTGCCATTCTCCGCCCTTTTCGCACGCGCTGACTGCGGCGTTGTACAAGACTGTGGGACATCCGCGACTGGCAGGCTGAGGCTCGCTTCTGTTGGCTTATCGTGGGCGTCCAAGCAGCTTGGAGCCTGGAGGGGCGCTCGGGGCGGGAATCATAATGCAAATGATCCTTCCCCTCCCCCTACCCCCCCCCCTCCTCCTCCTCCTCCTCCTCCTCCTCCTCCTCCTCCTCCTCCTCCTCCCTCCTCCTCCTCCTCCTCCTTCCTCCCCCCTCCTCCTCCTCCTCCTCCTCCTCCTCCACCTCCTCCTCCCCCTCCTCCTCCTCCTCCTCCTCCTCCTCCTCCTCCTCCCCCTCCTCCTCCTCCCTTCAAACCGTCGGAACGAGGGGGCCCAGAGTGGCTGGAGCAGGGGGAAGAGTCGGGGGAGACGGGGGTCCCTCAACGCCTGCAGGTCCTCCGAGTCGTCCCTCACTGGCGGAGTGGGGAACCCAGAGTGGCTGGAGAAGGGGGAAGGGAGCAGAGAGAAGGTGGATGAAGTGAGGGAAGGGGAGTGATGGGAGGATGAGCCGGGAGGGAAGCGGAGAGAAGAGCGGGAAGAGCGCAGAAACGGGCAGAGGGCCTCGCCGAGGGGAGGTGAGGAGGGCGAGCGAGCGTCCATCCGGCTCTGCCCCGGGGCAGAGCCGCGCCCATCTGGGCGGGACGAGAGGAGCTGTAGCCCTCAGGGAAAACTGGAATAGTTTCACGTCGCATTCACGAACATGCCCTCCATGTTTGGCCATCTTGAATCATTGATTGCCCTATGTGTCCAAGCTATGTCGTTGATGTCGCCACGCCTTCTGTGAGTAAGCTCCCCCAGCGCGTTCTCGCCCAAAACAGTTCTGCGAAGGCATGCCCTGCTCTCGCCACCCCACCGTTTGTGTTGACCACCGAGGCTCCAGCGTGCTCTCCTTGTCGACGCGTGGGTCGGGTGCCACTGCAGAGCCCGCTGCGTCCACCTTGAGGCTGGATGTACGGCCACTCCGAAGGGGCCCAAGGACACACACACACACACACAAATCAAAACGCACAAATCTCAGGACTCCCCATATTTCCCATATGTTCTGGGTTTTCGTCTTCCCCCCCACGTCCCATATGTTCCACATTTTCCTTGGAATCGACGATCAATTGTGTCTGTGTTTTTTCCCCTCCTGACACTCGTGCGGCCAGTCTCCAGTGCAGCTGGCGCTGTTCTGTCTCCCGACGAGCAATGCTTTGCCACTGCACGAGGTACTCCGCCCAGAGCTCCTCGGTACTCCGCCCAGAGCTCCTCGCTTTCTGCCCAGGGCCCACTGGACGTATCGACCGTCGACTGCACTCCGCCCAGAGTTCCTCGCTTTCTGCGTGGCTGTCGGTGTCGTCGTCGTCGTGGCGGCGGTTCCTCGGGCGGCGGCGGGCTGCCGTTGACGTCCCAGTCGTCGGTGGTAGCCGACTGGTCGGTCGTGAGGGTGCTCGGCCTTGGCTGTGCGGCCGGAGGCGCCTGTCTCGACCGCCTCCGCGGCGTGTGCACGAGGGGGGGGATAAACGGGAGCAGGGGGATGAACGGGGAGAGAGATGGGGGGGAGGTCCCAGATAAGGAGCCGAACTCTATACACCTACGCCTGTCGGGCCTCACACTGGATCTCGCACAGGAAAGCGGGTCCTGGTGTACACGGAATCCTGGTGTGTACATTCTTCGTTGTTTCCCCGGGAAAACAAGGATTATTCACTGCGTGGGGATCCCCATATGTGCATCTCCTTGCTGGCGCTCCCTTGGTGGTGGGACTCGGTGAGGACGAATCTGGATTTAAGTGTGACTGAGCTGCCTCTCTCTCTCTCTCTCTCTGCTCTCTCTGTCTCTCTCTCTCTCTCTGCCCTCTCTCTGTCTCTGCCTCTCTTTCCCTGCCTCTCTCTCTCTCTGCCTCTCTCTCTGCCTCTCTCTCTCTGCCTCTCTCTCTCTCTCTGCCTCTCTCTCTGTGCCTCTCTCTCTCTGCCTCTATCTCTGCCTCTCTCTCTCTCTCTCTCTCTCTCTCTCTTCTCTCTATTCTCTCTCTGCTCTCTCCTCTCTCTCTCACTCTCCCTCTCTCTCTCTCTCTCGCTCTCTCTCTTCTCTTCGCTTCTCTTCTCTTCTCTCTCTCTCTCTATCTCTCTCTCTCTCTCTCTCTCTTTCTCTCTCTCTCTCTCTTCCCTCGCTCTCTCTCTCTCTCTCTCTCTTCTCTCTCTCTCTCTCTCTTTCGCTCTCTCGCTCTCTCTCTTGCTCTCTCTCGCTCTCTGTCGCTCTCTCTCGCTCTCTCTCTCTCTCTCTGCCACGCATCACCCGCCAGGCCTCAGGCGCCTTCAGGCCCTGGTACGCCCCACCCAGCCCTCTGGCCGCCGACGCGCAACTTACGCAGCACCATCCAGCGCGACCCAGCGGTCCCCGTCCCGCCGACGAGCATCCTCACCTCCCTGTACCAGAACGGCTTTGCGCTTGGTAACAGTGGCGTGACCACGGAGGACATCGAAGACGCCCTGCGACTCCACGACCATCCTCGATTCACCCATGACCCAACGCTCCAAGCGCTGGCGCCGTGGACTGACATCATGCAGAGGCCCCCGAACCGACTCACTTGGGTACTGGAAGACTCGGGCGGGAACTCAGGCGAGACGATCTTCCCCTACCTCACGTGGGACCTCCGTGCTCCTACCACTGACACGCCCACGGTCTTCTGGCACGGGACCCGCGGCGACCTTGCGGCCCGTCTTGCTTTCAACGGAGGTCACCTCCTGCCGGGCCCCCGCCGTGAAGCGAAGGGCCGAACCGCCACAAATGTCGACCGCACGTACGTGGGTGTGCACCCGTCGCTGGCCGCGTGGTACGCGGTGCCGCCTCACCCGCCCCGCAGCCTCGAAGACGACACCCTCGCCTGGGGACCCATCGCGCTCTGGATGTGCGAGGCTACCAAACCGCCGCGCGGTGAGAACTGGCACAACTTCGTGAACGGGGAAGCTCACGGAGCGCGCCTCATCTACCCACGGGTCCTGGGCCTCCTCATCCGCATGGACTGGTGTGCCCCCACCGAAGCTGCCTCCAGGTGCCGTGCCCTCCCGCACACCTGTGGCATGGGCGACTGCACGCACGCCCTCCACATTGCCGGCTTCGATCACCCAGACCTCCGCGAGGCGGCTGAAGCCCGCGACCAGGGGGCAAAGATCTGGCGCCGGCTGGACACCGTGGCAGCGTGGCCACCGCCACAGGCACTATACTCGCCAGAGGCAGCGCGAGCATGGGCTACACAGCACTACGACACCGAAGCAGCCACCAGGGCCGACCCCAACCAGCCCCGTCCGCGCGCCTCGCTTCGCAAGCTCCAGCTGGACCCGCAGCCACTGATCGACCTGGTGTACACTGCCACGGCGCAGGCTGTACCCGAGCGGTGGCAGTCTGACGTACGAGCGCCGCGCCCCAGCGGCTCCAGCCCTGGGGCCGCGTCTGGCCCATCGCACACCTCTCAGCCAGGTGCCGCCTCGGGACACAGTCCAGACCGCTCACCGACGGCATCGGGAGCCGACGACCGCCGTGCGCCGTCCCTTATCAGCGCGGCCGCCGCCCTCGCCCGAGGCCATGCTCGCTCGCGGCGCTCCGCCTCACGTTCGTCACGGCAGAGCGGCGGCAACTCCGCCTCTGACAGCAGCGACATCGATACGTGGGAGCACATCGAGACGGAAGAGGAGCCGACCGCCTACCACGTCCTCGCCTTCCACGTCCGCGATGTGCGGTCCCGTGTGAACGCCCCTGGCGTCGAGGTCTGGCTCGACCCAGGCGAGCATCACGATGGCGCCTACCTACCGTGGGGGGCGACCGTTGTGGGCCACCGCGTCACTGACCCTGCGGTTGCGGGTCGCGATGGCTGGGTCATCCTTCACCACGACCACGGCGACACCACCACCAGGCTCTGGGCACCGACCCAAGTCCACGTCAAGGCGGACGACACTTGGCGCACGGTCATGATCGCAGCGGACCTGGGGCCCCAGTGGATCGAGCGCCATGCTGACGACGCTCGCCTCCCCGCGGAGGCGGTCCGCACTACAGGCCAGTCCTGGTTCGCCGACGTCTGGCCTTTGTGGGATCGACCCCGACCCCACCCAGACGACGCAGTCACCGACGAGCAAGCGTTCCCGCCCCTACCAGGACGCTGGATTTGCCTACAGTGCCGATTCCAATGCTGCCAGTATTGTGCTGCCCGCCGCAACACGCAGCTCGGCACCTCGGGCCAACCGACGTGCCCGGACTGCTCCCTCAGCGGACTGCGTGCACCTATGGACTGGTCCACGGACTACTCTTGCAACAGCTGGACGTGCGTGTACAGCACCGACGACAGGGCCGCCGACACATGCTGCCTCTCCAGCAGATGCCCGCATCCGCCTCGTCCGCACAGCCTGTTCGACGTCCGTGCCACAGGGATGCCTCCGCACATCCTCGCCCGCCAATACGGCAACGCGCCAGCCCAGCACGACCTCATGGAGCCCCCCCGAGCGCCTTCAGGCCCCGGGGGGGAGCCTCCGCAACCAGGCCAAGCAGGATACCAGGGCCAATGGTATCTACCACCGAGGCCGCGTCGCGTCCCCAAGCAGGGATTGCCCGACGGCACGAGGCGGCCACCAGGGTTCACAGGGACGGGGATGCCTGAAGACCCGTCTCCCGACCAACCGCTGTGGAAGGAAGGCTACGTGCTCTTCGGCCCGCACCAGGCCCTCAAGGAAGGATTTCATCTTCAACAAAGCGGTGCGCCGACCTTACTCCCTAGCCATCACCAACATGCACAGGGATCGTGTCACAGTCAGGACCGTCTGCGAGTCTATCGCCGAGCGCATCCACACTACCCGCACGCGCTGGCGGGACGTGGTACTGTACTGGGATGCCGAGGGCGGCCCTGGGCCTCAAGCTCTCGACTACGACATGCGCCTCTGTGACGCCATGGTGAGTCGTGCCACGACCGAAGCCGAGTTGAACCACGACCGCAGCAACCGTGGTAGCTTCTGTCTCTATGGACCAGCGCACCAGCGGGCTGTGAACATCACGGTGCTCCCCGAGCCGCAGAACATTGACTTCGTGGAGCATGTACGGCGCTACTCACCTGACGGGGAGACTTACCCAGACCATGCCTTCGAGCACGTCTACCAGGGCTGGCGGCGGCCCGACGTGCCGCCCATCCTCCCCGACACCCGCCCGCTCTCGAGAGCCGACCAACAGCGCTACCAGCAGCACCAGCAGCGCACCCAGCAGCGCGACCAACGCGACGCAGGTCAGCCGAGCACGCCACGCAACCGCTCTCCCGCGCGCGTCCCGACAGGCGACAGAGCGGTGTACGGCGGAGGCGCCGCCTACCACCGTGGCCCCATTGGTGCCAGGCCCGCGGCGGCAGGGGCAGCCGCCTCCAGCTACGGCCACGTCCCCCACGCCAGGGTGCACCCAGCGGTCGTCGGCTACCCGCGCGCACTCGCGCAGGCTCCCCCACGGGCCACCTCGCCCGCGCCAGGGTCCACGCGTGCCTGGGGCCATTACCCAGGCCGCCACGACAGCACCGCCAGCAACCAGTCCGCAGCGGCACCCCCTGCGGCTTCAGCCCAGGGGGCTGCACCAAGCCGCGGCAGGACAGGGCGCCCCGAAGGATGGCGCGAGGCGAACGTGCGCGCCTGGCAACCGCGCCAACACACGCCCCCGCCAAACGTGGCCGCAGCGCAGCGCCCTGCCCAGGCAAAGCCCGCCCCCCCTGAGCGCGAGCGGCAGCCGCTCGTCCCGCTCGTCCTCACGCACACCCAGGCACACCACAGCGCCTCCCCGCGGCACAGCGAGGGTAGTGCCCACCGCGTCAGCCCCCGGCCTGACGCCGCCGACCCTGACCAGGCTGCAGCCTCGGCGGCGGGCGGCACAGGCGGCTCCCGCCCGCCCAGCCCAGCACCCAGCGCAGCGCCGATCCGCTCCCCGAGCAGGGCGGACTCTGCGCGCGCCAACGCCCAGGCGGCCTCGCCACGTGACCGCCACACGGGCGGGCGCGTCCCGCGCAGCCGGCCCAGCAGCCGCCACAGCTCGCGCAAGCCCCCTGGGAGTTCCACGAGCTCGCCGCCCCGCGAGACTCAGGCTGACGCCCAAGCCCCCGAGGTGGTGCCACGTTTCGGTGCCGGCGCCAAAGACCCTAACGAGGTCGACCTCGAGCCGACGCCGTCCACGGACCAGGAGCTGCCACCGCCCACCCGCGTCGTCGCCCCCGACGAGGCGCCGACCTTCGACCCCTTCAAGCACAAGTACTCCGTCAAGGACCTCGCGGCGGGCTTCGGCGGCGGCTCACCGCTGTCTCCTCAGAGCCACGGCGGCGCCCCCGCCACCTCTGCCGCTGCCGCGGCAGCGGCGGCCCCGCGTGGAGTCAGCCCTGTCCGCAACGCGAGCCTCACGGCAGCGGGCATGGACGAGGCTCAGCGCCAGGCCACCGACCGCGCCGCTCGCCACGCCCAGCTAGTGGCTGACGCGCTGGCAGGGCGTGCGCCGCCGCAGCCACAGGGCCCACCGCCCGAGGCGAGCGCGGAGGGCGCACATGAACAAGCTGTTCCAGCTGATGCTGCTCATCACGGCACTGACGGGGCGGGCGCGCCGCCGCAGGACGGACCAGCGGTGTCGCGTGCGCAGTATTCGCGCGCGCGCTGCGCCGCTGCCGC